AATTAACCAAGGCAAACTAGAGTTCCAGAGAAGACAGAAGGACGAATCGGCGTACGACACACAGCCACTAACCCCGCAATCCTGCTAGAATAAGAGAAAACTCTTAAGGTAGAACAAAACTCCCAAAGAAAGAAATACCAAGCCTTGACCAAATCCCAGAGCCTTAAACCCGTAGCCGAAAAGGAACACGCCGAATCCTAAGGAAACCCATTAGAACCTCGAAACAAATAACAGGCAATCAAATCAGATAACCGCCAAGCCATCAGGAAACCTCCTATAACAAGTAAACACAACACGAATCTTCATGCTAAGATAAAGACAGAAAACGCCAAAAAAAAAGAAACGAAGGAAGACCCAAAAGACAACCTCCCCAGAAGCCAGAAAATCCGATAAACGAATAAAGAGGAGGGCCCCCCCCCAAAATCTCACATAAAGCAACAGAAGAAAAGGGCAACCAAGGGGAAACGAAACCCACAAAGCGGAACCAATACCTCCTAAGAAACCGAAAGACGCATCAGGAAAATCTCACAAGTACAGGTCAGAATCCCAGATGAGCTATACGGACAACCAGCCCAAACCTCCTCCCAATTGACTCCAAGCTCCCCGACAAACTAAGGAACCCGGAATAAGCTGCTCCCACGCACGAGAGCAACCCGGAAACAATCACCCACTACGGAACAGATCCACCCCACGACACAAGATGGGAAGTATGATGACCCAGGCAAAGAAACCTCCGAAGGAAAGAAATATTCGCAACAGATCCAGTTCCCACATCACAACAGCCCCTCAAGAAGAGCCAATAGACAGACGGAGGACTAGAGGAATAGAAGCATTCAGTCAAAGCAAACAAATAAAGCCTTCTACCCGAAATCCCACAAGATCCCGCCCCCCCCGAAGACTCCACGAAAGAGGCAGAATAAGTGGAGGGGGAAGAGTAGCCACACCAAGTGAGCCTCAGGAAGTCACGACCCAGCGCGAAGGGCGAAGGTGCCGGCTTGGAGGGTAAGTACAGGATTCTTAAGGACGGACGCAATAGACTCATGAAATAACGACAAAGGGGAAGCGAAACCAGCAACCTAAAAAAGGAAGCAGGACGTTTAAGAAACAAAATGGAGCGTCAGGAGCGAAACTGAGAGAAAGGTCCCCGTACACACCAACAGGCAACAACTAAGCCAGGAAGAAGCATCAGGACAAGTCAGGAGTACGAGTTCCCGAGTCGAAACAGAAACGGAACGTTGAAGGAGCCGTCATATTCAAGGTTTCTTCCCCAACAAGAAATCTGAAGATGGACGCAACTACGGAACAAAAAAAACAAACAGGACTAGAATAACCCACAGGGGAAGACTAGGAGTTCGTAATAGAGCAAATTCTCGTAACAAGAGGAGGATCAAATAAGCCCCCAACAAGTAGCGACGAAGTCAGGAACAGCACCCAGCAATAATTCTTCCCGTTACCAAAAAGGCCAGGAAACTACAGGGAAGCAAGACAGGAAAAATGAATAAAGGAATAGTTCACTTAACAGGCATCCGGGGGTCAAAATCACCGGAGGATGGAGCAGCCACCAACGGAGCTTCAAGAAGTCTCGAGTTCGTAGGGACACAATATCGGAAGGGGAACAGATTAGATCAACTCAAGCAGGCCAAATATGATAAACAACTTCCCCCCACGACACGGAAAGCAGACAGAAGAACAAGGAAGAGGAAGCACCAAAAGGCAGGGGAAGAATCAAGGAAGGGAAGAAAAAGGAGAACTTACGTCGGAGACGGCCCTCGGCGGAAGATTTCAAGAGAATCTACAAGGCTGGATCCAAGAAGGTCAGCCCCACAAATCGTTTCGAGTAAAAAAAAGGGAAAGGAAAGAAAAGAGGCTAAGAACAAGCCGGAACCCAAGGACCGACACTCTTGGTAAAAAGACCCCCCAGCCGAAGCACCCGCCCGAGGGAGCGAAAATTGGGAAAGACCAAGGGGGATCCAAGGGGAGCCCAACAAATTAACAACTGACAGGAGGAGGGATACAGGGGATATCCAAGGCGTCTGGGGAAAGCCATCAAAGGCGAAAACGTCGTGTAAAGCAAGGAAAGTCGACCAGGGTGAAGACCAAAGGAACAAAAGCGGGGACCCCGGGGCTGACGCACAACATCCGAAAATATTGAGCCAGGAGAAAATCAGCCGAGAATAGAAGCAAAAACGACCAGAGGCAGGGGGGGAGCCCTAGCGAAAAGGGACAAGGGAGAAGGGAAATGCCGGAGTCAGGAATCCGGCCAATGAAGGGACCCACGCCGAGCACCCCTGCTAGAGAAGTTCGGCAGCCAGAAATCAGCCGCGGGTGGAACCATTAGGGGCAGATAAGGGACCGAGTGAGGAAAGCGGACGTTCTAGAAATGAGTCCAAGGAGTCATAGAATGTCGAGAAGGTGGGGCCCCTATGATGAGGGAGGAACTGGGGCACAGGATGGACACGCTGGCAAGAGTCCATGTAAACACGGAGCATATTATAAAAGAGCAAGGGGGGGATTAAACCAACAGATAGAAACAGTAGGACAGACGCCGAAGGAGAAGAAGAGGAAGCCAACAAGGAGGGGCTCAGGAATCATAGGAACCCCCTTCACCCCACCAGCCGCCATCGCTCGAGGAGAAGGAAGGGGGGACCGGAGGGGACGGGTCACAACCCAGGGCGAAGCGAACGATCAAAGACGGATGACGACGGAGAGCTAGACCCAGCAGCAGAAAAACCAGCGGCCGGACGTAACAGGAAGGGCCAAGAGAAAGAGCGCGTCCCCCGTCGGACAAGCAACAGAGCAATAAGGAGAGATAGGTCCAGGCCAGGACGTGGCAGAATACGGAAGAAGGGCAAAGCGGAGGGCAGGCGAGGGACAGGAACTCCAGAACCCGCGAAGAGGGGTAGAGAAGAAAATCTAGAGAAGAACAAGGAAAGGACCTAGGGCAGCCAAAGCAGGACCATAAGGAAAGGGGGGGGGGCCCAAAATTCGAACCACAACGGAGCGACACGATGAGGCAGGTCACTTCGAGGAGTAAGGGTTGAGCCGCAGGCGGATCGTACGGTTGATAGGGCAAGGAGGTGAACGGTACCTATCGGGGGGAGAGGAGAAGAGATCAGGAGAGGGCAAGGAGAGAGAGGACCACGGGTGCACCTATATTTATTGGATTCCTGGACCACAAGAGGAGGCCAACCAGGCTCCGGAGCCACAGGGAGACGAAAAAGAGCCAAGAGAAGCGTCCAATCTACTTACAGCATCCCCGGGCGTCTAGCCGAGGTTAGTTCCATGTCCGGGCTGGACGTTTACATGAGGGCCTCAGGACAAACACGGGAGTCCGAGTTGAAGACTAACCTATGGATCCAGGAATCACCCCCCAGGACTACAAAGGGGGTTAGTTCCTTAAAACTTCCCGTAGGAGCAATATCTCTGACCCATAACAGCTCCAGAATACCACACTCCCTGGTCAACGGGGGCCAGGAATGAAAGCTTCCCCCGGAGCCTCCCCGCGACAAAAGGGAATGGCCACAGGAGGCAACAGTCTTAGCAGAGGAGATCCTCCTAAGGCCACGCAACTGGGGACCACACGACGACCGGAACAACAGGGAGGATGGCAAGCTTCAGCCGATATATGAAGCATATAGAGGAAGGAATAGGAAGGGCTTGGTGCAAGACCAACCAGGACAATCCAACAGGAACCATCTGTGGCTTGTCCCCAAACGGACAGACCCAGGACGTGGATGGTCTTGGAAACCGCTGGATCGGAATTCTAGGGACAGACGCTGTGATGTTGAGCAACATAGGCCAGGCTGCGAAGATCATCTGCAACTCAATTGATACTTGGGCCGCTAATCTGGAATCACAGGAGAGGGAAGGACAGTGGAACGAGTCTAGATGCATCTCAGGGGAGTTAGGAATCCAAGGCAGACCGTCAATCCATTCCACGTGTAACTGGAAGGCGGACCAAGCAGTATGGTATCTTAGTCGAACGGTCAGAACTTTAAACCCAAAAAATCCAGAGCAAAGAAGCTTAATGGTCTGCATGGATATAGTTTCAATAATCTTAGGAATCTTCGGCAACGCACAAAAAACAGATGACGAGTATAAATATAAGAACAAGAATTTATGCCAAAGCGTTTATGAAGCCTTCTGCAAGTGGGGCGGGCAGCAAATAGCCAATGATCTCATGGACTTCTGGTTCCCTGACAACACCACAGGCATAAAAATAGGAGGGAAAACCTTGCCTTCCACAACAGGACAGGGCGGGACGTGGAGGGACGCATTATATATCCGACCAAAAGGAATAACTAGCATACAGTGCAGCTCCGACAAAAGTCAAGGAACCAGGACTTATACAACAAGCTGCTATTGGACCAAGGAAACTTCAGGTTGTCAAAATTACAGCGATAACGAATGGACTGCTGCTGAGGTAAGGGAAAACCGAGACATACTGCCCTGCAAGCACTAGCAAAACAACAGCTCATTCGGAGGGGGGCCTTGAAGAGAGGCTCGCTCCTGCCGGCAGAAGGAGCAGAAGAGACAGGCCAAGCTCGAAAAGAGGGGCGGACCAATCCAAAAACGGCATGTTGAGCGAAGACGGGTATTGAGCTCACGTGGCATAGGGACAACAAGCTCCATTACGACTCTCTCATGGAATCAATAGCGCCAGGACTAAGGGGCAAGCACAAAACATCCCTTACGCCTAGGGACCATAGGAAGGGACACAGAGGACCGAATGAAGACCCGCGCTGACCCATCCAGCCCCAAACAGGAGAAAAAGAACCAATAAGAGCAGAACCAAGGGCTCACTCAACATTTCTCTGTTCATTTTGCAGGAATGGAAACGAGAGTCCAAACAGGTGTCCGAGACCAGCTTGAGTGAATTAATCCAACAGCACCAGGACAAATTTTCAGAGTCTCGGGCATCAAGCTCTTCATCACACGGGTGGCACCTAGTTCAGGCCATAGGAGGAGGTTCCGTTATAGCAGCCGCCGTTCCTTTTGCTTGGTATATTTGGAGAAGAATATTTCATTCAGGTAGAAGCCGGAACACTGGGAGGTTCAGAATCAGATATGAGCAGCAATAAGACAGAATCCCAGAGAGTATTAGGGAGGTTTATGATATCAGGGAAGAATCAACCACAGAGATGCAAAAAAACGGTGCTGTTCCTAAGGTACGCCAGGGAGCGCCTGAACCCCAAATTATCCCGCAACCGAAAGAGGAAACAGAGGAGGTAAGAGAAGGAGGATCAATCCCAATGAATTTCCCCCTCAACGGGGGACCCAAAGAGACGAAGGGACATCACAGACAAGTTAGAAGAGGGAAGGGCGAGACGACTAAGAATGAACGAAACAAACACCCCGAGGGAGGAGGTCAACAGAGGACTAACCCAACTGTCACGTGGAGAACGCCAGAGAGAATAGAAACTTGGGACAAGAAGTAACGACACCCTCATGCCCTAGTTGGAGACAACTCAAAAGGAAAACTCAACCCGCCGAACTGAATCAGCAGGCGTTGACAAAGGAGGGGGAGCAGAAGTTAATGAACCCTTCCATTTAGTCCCCAAGACGAAGCCTCTATAAAGGGAGGAAGACAAACGAAACCGGATCGAAACACCTTACTTAAACAGAAGACATCCCGCCTGAGGAAAATATGGGGGCCCCCTTTCCAGCATCCCTTGAAACCACCCTTCCGAGGCAACTCTCCTAGGGGGATATGCAAAAAACGTGCCACTTCCCGCGGGGAGCCGGAAGAAGACTCACCCAAGAAGAAGAGCACCCAAACCGCCGGGGAAGCGAGGCAACGAGTAGAAACCAGGCAAGCAAGCTAAGGGGAGCTGTAAAACAGGTGACGATTAGGACAAGGGGGCCAGGTATAGGGACGCAGACCTGGACCTCTAGGACGACGTAACCCTTCCAGATAAAGGGGATTCCAATCGACCCAAAACAGCGAATGACCACCTCCCTCGACCCGCGGCATAGAAACAGGATACGTGGGGACTTGCAGACGGGGCATTACGGGCTATGAGAGACAGTCGTGAAGCCAAGAAGAGAAGATGACGGCGGATACGACCAACAGCAGGCCAGGCTGAAGGGGGTGACCTATGGAGTAAACAACTAGGAGGGTGATAGTAGGGTTAGAACAGAAACTATGGCCTAGGCACAGTCCTCCAGACTCCGAAGGATATCATTTGCGGTTATCCCTTAGCCGTGGGGGAAGCGGGAGGAAGCGTACGAAATTTAGAATTGTCAAGGGGAAGTATAGATCACGTTCAAGGGACATGGCGACTTAAGGTTCCTGGGGTCCAATACAAGTTTAGATACGGGGGTTGTGATTACGGAGGTTAAGTATGACGTGAGGCGAGAAAGGGGGAGTGGCGGGGAATTTGGGATTTTCGTCTCGAGATTCGGGCTTTGGGGCTTACGGTTTAGGGTTTACGTTTAGGGTTTATCTTCTGGGGTCAGGGTTTACGGGGTAGATTTAGGGGGGACGGCTTATTCTCAGGGGTTAGTTCTCACGTTTTAGGATTCAGGCTTCTCAGGTTTTAGGGTTTAGGGGTTAGGTTTTGAGGTTTAGGTTTCAGGTGGTATATTTAGGGTTTAGGCCTTATTTTTAGGGTTCAGGTTTCAGCGTTTAGGGTACAGGTTTTATGTTTACCGTTTAGGGGTTACGTTTTGAGCTTAGGATTCAGGGTTTAGATCTAGGGTTTACCGCTTATTTTTAGGGTTTAGTGCTCAAGGTTTAGGGATGAGGGGTTATTTTTATTCTTTAGGGTTTCGGCTTCAGTGTTGACTAATTTTGCCTTAATTTCTTGAATCTAATTTTCCAGCCTCAGCGCTAAGGAATAAGGGCTATGGGTTTAGGTTTCAGGTGTTTTTTCTTTAGAGTTTAGGGTTTCAGCTTCAGGGTTCACGGTTTTCGCTACAGGGTTTAGAGTTTAAGTTTCAGGCTTTAACTTTCAGGATTCAGGGGTCAACGTTTCAGCGTTAAGGCTTCCTGGTTTTGAGTTCACGCCTTAGGGTTTAGATTTTTGTTTTAGTGCTTTGGATTTGGCTCTTAGGGCTGAGCGTTTATGCTTTACGGATTATGGTTTCGGCTTTATTTTTTATGTGATTGAGTTCATGCTTTTGGAGTTAGTGTTTAGGGTTTAAGGTTCAGAGTTTTATTGTTTGGTGTTTATGGCTTAAGGTCATGCATCAGGTGTAGTGTTCTGGGTTCAGTTTGTATAGTCGCCTTTGCAGGGTTTTCTTCTTAGGACTTCTTTTTCAGGGGTCAGCGCTTAATGTTCAGGGTTAAGGTTTAGGTCTACGGTTTAGGGGGTTAGGTTTCTGCGTCCTGGGGCTAATGTATAGCCTTGATGTTTTGTTGTTGAATGATCATATTTGTTCTGTTAGCTTCATGGTCAGGGGTTCAGTATATGTCCCGATTACGCTCTATTCTTTATATTTTACTCTAGGCTTACTCTTGGCAGATTTGGGAATCCTGTCTGTTTTCTAAAATTTCTCTGCTTTCCAATTGACCCTTTGGCACTTTTGGAGATAATCCCTCACGTTTTACATTTCATGTATTCGGGGGGAGCCACTTATGCTGCTGTTTACGGGATTCTGCGATGTGATTCAAATTCTACGATTCCCGAAATATATATGTTCGCTTGCCTGGATACCCTTCAATTTAAGCTGTAGTCGGTTCGGCTTAGGTTTCGGTGATGGGTGTTGTGGAATTGTCTTAGACTACTCGGGTTAGGGATTTGGATCTATTCCTTTAGGTTTACTCTGTGGCTGTTGTTCCTGGCAGGGATGCTGTTGTTTCCTGTTTTGGGGGTTGCAGATTTTATAGTTCTTGGATTTAGTGTGTAGTGTTCAAGGGGTAGTGTTTGCGATTTAATATTTAGGTATTACCCTTCAAGGTGTATTCCAGAGGTGTCATTGCGTACCCTTCATGTTTTACTACTACAGGTCCTAGTTGTTATGTGCCTATATTTTCACAGAGGGAGACTATATAAGTGTTTCACTTACTGGTAATACGGGTAGCATTCCAGGATGCTATGCCCCTTGATTTTTGGTTTAGTACCCTCTGTTTAAGGCCAGTTGTCTGGGTTCATACTTGGAGGTGTAGGTAGCGCATCTTATTATGCATCCTTTTGTAACTTGGCGTCTACGGACGACATTTTCTTGGTTGATTTCATGCTGATGATTCAAGTTCCTTTCCCCGTTTCATTGGTTGAGTGTAAATTGCTGGCCTTGTCCTTTAGTCCTAGATTTCATATGGTATGACTTAATGTCGAGGAATCTTTTTGGTCTCTTTAGACTTTGTTCCCAAGCATGGACGTTTAGTGTTTAGGGCTGCGGTTTGTTGCTTGTAAGGAAGCACCTGTATTTTATAGGTTGCGGGACTCAGGGTTAGGGTGGGATTTTCCCTGTAGTTTGTATGGTTGCTGTTTTTAGCTTCTGAGGTTAGGTTTAGGTTTTAGGGGGTATCCCTAGCTTTAGGCCCCCGACTCTGTTGTTACTTTTGGTTGTTCCTGCATTATTCTGTATTCTTTATTGTTATCTCTTGAGGGGTCCTTTCCCCTTTTCTACCTGTTAGGCGCAACTTATAACTTCTCTTGTCCTGCTGTCCATGCTGTTCGGTTTAAGGCTTATTATTACGAGACTCACTTTTTCTATTACGACTCAATCTCTTAGGGGTTAGCCTCCAGATTCGACGCCCGATGTGCACATTTATGCTTCATGTCCATGGTGCAAGACTATCGCGTTAATCTCGGAGTTTATACTCTAGGACCTCTCTCGTCATGCTTAGGTTTCTATATTTCTCCGTTAGGGCCCCTGCTCGTCTTGTTAACTTTTTAGCTTTCATTCCTTAGGCTATATCTCTTAGCCCAGAATCATTAAGTTTCCAATTTTGGATTTATGCTCTGGAGTCTGAGCTCTGTTCTTCCTGTGTTAATTCCTGGGCTTTAACCTGTATGGGTCGTCAAGTATTGCTTATGGCTCAGTGATGATGACGGAAGTTCGATGCTACATGCATGGTGGGGCACATACAATGGTTAGGCGTACAGAATGGAAATGTATATGGCAGAGGTAGGTTGTCATTCCCTGCTCTCTTGCCTTATTATATGGTTTCTTCCTCTTACTGCTTAAGCTGTGCTGTCGACCTTCTGTTTGAGCCTTTATTTTGCTCCCATTATTGCTTAAGCCTGCCTTTCCTTCGTTAGGCTCTTCTCTGGCTTATGTTCCTGTAATCTTGAGGGCTGCAATTTTATGGCGTTCTTTTAAATAGTACATTTCTCTCTATATATTTTACCTGTACTCCTTGGTTTTTACGCTTCAATTTTACGCAGTTAGGTTGCAGTGTGTAAGCACCTATCTTATTTGGGTTCTACTCAGGCATTGTGCTGTGGGATTATGGAGGTTTGGTGTTTTCTCAACTTTTATTGTTCACTCTGTATTCTTTAATATTTAGCATTAATGCTTTAATTCTTATCCCCCCGGTTCGACTCTTGAGTGTATTTGTCAGGCCTTATCTTCTATGTTTGCGCCTCCAGGTTCTTGTCTATGGTCGGGGGGTTCTCTTTACTCCTTAGCGTCTATTAGTATTGTTAGATAAGTTATTTGAGGCGGGTAAGATTCACTGACTATACGTCCTTTGTACTGTGATCATCCTTAGGTGTCTAGGATTTACGGTGTAGTGTTTGGGTTGTATGTTTTGGGCCCTAGGCTGTATATTCCATGGCTCAGCCTCCACGGCTTATCAGTGAGGCCTTTGGCTTAGCGTGTACTGGCACCCTCTAGTCTTTATTCCTACGGTTGATTCTTTACATATGCCTCTTTATTTCTTCTGCTTGTTTTTATTCATTATCTCCTTAGCCTTAGGATCCTCTGCCATATCTCGACGGTTTACGGCTCAAATTTCATGGTTGCGTATTCAGTTTTAGTGTGTAGGACTGATCGAATACTCTTAATGTCTATCTGTGTCTGATGAAGTGTAGGGTGGTTCCTGCATGCCCTAGATTTACGGTCTATACTAGTTGTGTACTGTGTACTGCTCAGGTGTATGTGCTATGATTCATGCTCTAACGTGCTTTGATGTATTTGCTCCTATTCTTCTTCAGGGTATTTCCCCGAATGTTTCTGCGTTAGGGATCATGTTTAGGTCCTACAGGTATGAATCCGCGGCGCCCTTTTCTATTGCCTGTGTTTTACTTTTTATGGTGTTGAGATGTCTTGTATTAATTGGT